ATACCATTATTGTAAGTACACCCCATCACCACAATGACGGTTATTTTTTTACTGTATACCATTATGGTAAATACCCCATTATCACATTAACGGTTATTGTTTTAGTGGTTACCATTATTGTAAGTACACCTCATCACCACATTAACGGTTATTGTTAATGTGATAATGGTATACACTTAAACAATAACCGTCAATACAATAATGGTAACCACTAAAACATTAACGGTTATTGTTTTACCGTATGCCGTTATTGTAAGTACACCCCATCATCACATTGACGGTTATTGTTGTAGTGTATACCATTATTAGTACACCCCATCACCCACCTGGCGGTTATTGGTTTACTGTATACCATTATGGTAAATGCCCCATTATCACATTAACAATAACCGTTAATGTGATAATGCTAAAACAATAACCGCCAATGTGGTGATGGGGGGGACTTACAATAATGGTATATACTATTCTTGGATTACTAAAAACAACTGACAGAGAGAGCAATACTGTGTTATCTGTCAGTTGTTTTTAGTAATCCAAGAATAGTATATACCATTATTGTATTATTGTAAGTACACCACATCACCACATTGACGGTTGTTGTTTAAGTGTATACGATTATTGTCAGTATAAACCATCACCACATTGAAGGTTATTGTTTTAGTGTATATACCATTATGGTAAACACCCCATTATCACATAACGGTTATTGTTTTATGGATACCATTATTGTCAGTATAATCCATCACCTCATTGACGGTTATTGTTTAAGTGTATACGATTATTGTCAGTATAAACCATCACCACATTGAAGGTTATTGTTTTAGTGAATATCATTATTGTAAGTACACCACATCACCACATTGACTGTTATTGTTTTAGTCTATACCATTATTGTATTGACGGTTATTGTTTAAGTGGATACCATTATTATAAGTACACCTCATCATCACATGGACGGTTATTGTTTTATGGATACCATTATTGGAAGTACACCCCATCACCCCATTGACGGTTATTGATTTAGTGTATATCATTATTGTAAGTACACCTCATCACCACATTAACGGTTGACCACATTGACGGTTGTTGTTTAAGTGTATACGATTATTGTCAGTATAATCCATCACCACATTGACGGTTGTTGTTTAAGTGTATACGATTATTGTCAGTATAAACCATCACCACATTGACGGGTATTGTTTAAGTGTATACCATTATTATAAGTACACCTCATCACCGCATTAACGGTTGTTGTTTTACTGTATACCGTTATTGTAAGTATAATCCATCACCTCATTGACGGTTATTGTTTAAGTGGATACCATTATTATAAGTACACCTCATCAACACATTGACGGTTCTTGTTTTAGTGGATACCATTATTGTCAGTATAATCCATCACCACATTGGCGGTTATTGTTTTAGTGTATGCCATTATTGTAAGTACACCACATCACCACATTGACGGGTATTGTTTAAGTGTATACCATTATGGTAAACACCCCATTATCACATTAACGGTTATTGTTTTATGGATACCATTATTGGAAGTACACCCCATCACCACATTGACGGTTATTTTTTTAGCGGATACCATTATTGTAAGTACACCCCATCACCACATTGACGTTAATTGTTTTAGTGTATACCATTATTGTAAGTACACCTCATCACCACATTGACGGTTATTGTTTAAGTGTATACCATTATTGTCAGTATAATCCATCACCACATTGACGGTTATTGTTTTAGTCTATACCATTATTGTAAGTACTCCCCATCACCACATTGACGTTAATTGTTTTAGTGTATACCATTATTGTAAGTACTCCTCATCACCACATTGACGGTTATTGTTTTAGTGTATACTATTATTGTAAGTACACCTCATCACCACATTGACGGTTATTTTTTTAGCGGATACCATTATTGTAAGTACACCCCATCACCACATTGACGGTTATTATTTTAGTGGATACCATTATTGTAAGTACACCCCATCAACACATTGACGGTTATTTTTTTAGTGCATACCATTATTGTAAGTACACCTCATCATCACATTGACGGTTATTGTTTTAGTGGATACCATTATTGTAAGTACCCCCCATCAACACATTGACGGTTATTATTTTAGTGGATACCATTATTGTAAGTACACCCCATCAAGACATTGACGGTTATTTTTTTAGTGCAAACCATTATTGTAAGTACACCTCATCATCACATTGACCGTTATTGTTTTAGTGTATACCATTATTGTAAGTACACCTCATCACCACATTGACGGTTGTTACTATTATTTTAACATTTTGTATCCATAGCAAATCAATTTTTAAATTTTGTAGACGCGTATTTGTAAAGTGTTGTAAATCCTTTCTTTTAGAATGAAGAACGCGTTGCTTCTTACAATAAATTGTGTATGCTATTCGATGTTTCCGGTCCTTTTTGTAGGGAGGATTCACAGCCGTGATATGGACAGATGTATTTCAATCGGTTCTTATGTTTAGTGGCACCTTCGCAATTCTTATTAAGGTAGTATAGACTCGAATAACTTTGCTGTTCTCTAAAAATAGAAATTATGAAATAAAACTGGGGTTTTTTCTTTTGCTTTTTAACAAAATCTAAACATTTGAATCTTACTCGTGCACGAAAAGATATTACGTTTAATCAAAATGTGCGACATGTGCTAATTTCGTAATGCAACAAAATTTCAAAGTGTATGACTTGCAAAACATAAACATTGATATAATTATTTAATTTTCTATCAAATTGTTTTTATTTTCTGAAGTTGAAAAGAACATAATTGTAAATTGATAAACCGACAATAACATATCCTGATATCAAACACATTTCTGCGAGTGTTTAACAATGATTCTTCTTAATAAGGGAACGATGGAAGTAGGTGGAGTTGCAAACACTTGGAGCATTGTGAAGGAGAAAGGACGGTCCAACTTGATAGAGTAAGTAACATGTGTTTATTCATTGTATCTACTATAGGCACAACTGTTGTCTTATTAGGTAAGAATTTTCCATATACAAGTATAAATTTAGATTTGGAAATGAGATTTAACAAAAAAATCAGGGTAAATGTTCCATAAATCTTGTAAAATCTAGTGTATCTATACCCTTATGACACGCTAGAATGAGCGTATATCCAGGGTGTTATTATGCAGTCGTTCCTTTTAAATGTCCCATTTGCATCTGTAATGGATCGTTCGGTTGAATCGAGTTTTATGATTTATTGGCGATACTATGATTTCAGCACCAATTTCAGCCGAATATATTAACCCCATTCTAGGTTATAAAATACGCACTCAAGTATGATTTAGGTCTGTTGTAAAGTAAATTGACAGACATATCATTTATTGTTAGGCAAACTCGCACATGAGGAACAACCCTTGTGGGGTATAACATGGTCGAGGGTGGGTGGTAAAGTGTCTGCTGAAGCATCCAAGATAATGGTTATTTTGTAAAACAAATTGTCGTAGGAGGCAATTACAAAAACAAAACACTGGTGTACCTCAATCGCACATAAGCATGTATAAGCCATGTGCCGTATGACCGCTAGTTTGTAAGATATTATATTTATTCGTCTTTACACAAATACGATATATTTATCTCTATATTGCAGCTTTAATCCCGACCCTACCATCCGTCAATCATTCTGGCGCCTATTTGTTTGGGGTTTGATCTACGGGTTCAAGCTGCAATTTACTCAGGCGTCTTTTCAGAGGATCAAGGCAACACCAACCGTGGCAAAAGCCAAACAGTAAAAGTTATATTTATTGCATGTTCTTCTTGAAAACAATAATCTTAAAAGGCAAAGAATATATTTTATTAAACATGTACAATAGTGTTTTCGTAAGAAATTTAAAAAAAGTTAAAAAAGATAAAATTTAGAATTTACAACTTTAAAAAAAAATGCAATAATGTACATATTATACATTTCAGGATGTACTTCATTGCTTGTTTTTTGTTCCTGTTGATATCGGGGCTGGCGGTGTTGGATGGAGCTGTTATGTTCGCCTACTATCATACAAAAGGGTGTGATCCGCTTTTAGCCAAACAAGTGAATAACCAAAATCAGGTGAAATAATTGATCATATACTTGTGAAATATTTAAAACGTTCTGCGACACAATTCGAACGTAACGTTGACATTCCTGTTTACTTTTCTGTAAAAAGGTACAAACATGCGTTCACTAAATTGCGTTTGGCTCTAAAAAAATAATATTTTCAAAACTAATTATTAAATATAAAACGTAATATAAAGTGCATATCAATATTATTATTTCAGTTAATGGCAAAAATGGTACGAGACATATTTCAAGATATCCCATGTCTCCCAGGGCTTTTCCTTGCGTCTCTGTTCAGTGCAGCACTTAGGTAAGAAATGAACATTATGACAATACGGGAGGGAGGAGGAGTGGCAACTGCTTGGCATCAGCTATATATAAGCTTTGTCGAATAGAATTACATTTCCCCATGGGTCTTTCAAAACACATGCAAAATGTCCTTCCTCGTATAAGAGGTTGCTAATGTTAACAATTTCTATTGCAGTATACATTGTTGTTCTGTACAGAGGTCCAATCGCCACATGCTACAGTGAAATTGTTTATTTTTTAATCAATTAACACTTTTTATTCCTTCTATTGCAATACGCACCGATTGCTGGGATGCCTCTTGTATGCCAAGGTTCAGCTGTGTGACAGCAAACTGCACAAAAAACAGCGTGCGCACATCGTAAATACATGGTGCACACACCGTCCGCACATCGTCCACACGGTGCGCACAACTGTGCGATTTAACAATCGTTCGCCCCATTGTGCGATTGTATAAAATTGGTCAATCAATATTACGGAATGAAAAAATAATCCAGAAGGCTTACGGAACACTATATATTATAAATTTCTCGTTATATTCATTAAGATTATGTTCAATTTAACATTGGGAGTTACACAATAGTACAGTGACTGTTAGACTGTCCAGAATGGTTTGGCTCCCAGGTAACAGAACAGGTAAATAACCATTTATTAGTGACCTGGGTTTTACCTGCCGCCCTGTGTCTGACATAGAGAGCCGATGTATGATACCTTATTACTGCTATGAAAACACAACTGGACGTTAAGTGTTTATTTGTATGCGTTTTAGTCTATAGCTCCCCTTCACCTGAATGTGCACACCTTGACGAGTTACGTAAGCCCCCGGGTGGGTAAAACTATGGTCCACGTACATATACAAGGTGGCCATGTTTACCTGTATATTGGAGCATGTCCATAGGTGTTATAGTTTTACATGTGTCGATTCGGGTAGTTAAAAAAAAATAAAAAAATACACCATTTCTAAATTTAAAAAAGATCAGCTCATATACTTAACTAGAAAAAAGATACATTCTTAAAAAATAAACATTATATGTTTAAACACTAAACCGTATTAATTGTAACGCCATTTTTCAATTTACACCAACCACGAATGTCATCGCACAACGTTCGTCCATCGTCCACACAATTGTGCGCAAGCAATAATATTTCAGATTTGTATCGTTAGCATATCGTGCACACATCGTGCACACATCGTGCACACATCGCACATCGTGTACCATTGTGCAATCCAACAACTGTATCTCGACAGCCCAAGCGTAAAAGCTGCCAGAGGGATCGAGTGATCCACTAACGTGGTTGTTATTATCTAGGCTATTACTGTGTTTGTTTTCACTAACGTGGTTGTTATTATCTAGGCTATGACTGTGCTTGTTTTCACTAACGTGGTTGTTATTATCTAGGCTATTGCTGTGCTTGTTTTCACTAACGTAGTTGTTATTATCTAGGCTATTACTGCGCTTGTTTTCACTAACGTGGTGTTGATTATCTAGGCTATTACTGTGCTTGGTTTCACTAACGTGGTTGTTATTTTCTAGGCTATTACTGTGCTTGGTTTCACTAACGTGGTTGTTATTTTCTAGGCTATTACTGTGCTTGGTTTCACTAACGTGGTTGTTATTTTCTAGGCTATTACTGTGCTTGTCTCCACTAACGTGGTTGTTATTATATAGGCTATTACTGTGCTTGTTTTCACTAACGTGGTTGTTATTATCTAGTCTATTACTGCGCTTGTTGCCACCAACGTGGTTGTTATTATCTAGGCTATTACTGTGCTTGTTTCCACTTACGTGGTTGTTATTATCTAGGCTATTACTGTGCTTGTTTCCACTAACGTGGTTGTTATTATCTAGGCTAGGAGACTTTGGCCGTGGTCCCAATCCCATACATTTGGTAGATTTGAATAGTGAACCGCTCTCGACAACAAAACGCCGATTAGAACTTAACAAAAAACATGACACTTTCATGAATGAAATTGCTTTACATGTACATTGTAAGTTGTTGTTACAGGGAATATACTAGAACGCTAACATTGCCATTCATGTTTATAGATAACACAGTATTGCTCTCTCTGTCAGTTGTTTTTAGTAATCCAAGAATAGTATTTGTAACATAAAGCTATATTACATGTTTCTTCTCTTCATCATCTGTGTTGAATACAAAATTCAAAATAAAGCCTGCCTTTCCAGAGATAACATGAGACATGAGCAAATGTTAATAATTTACAAAATTTAAATAAAAATTGATTATACTCATTTGAAATACATCCCGTATTGTATATTTCTATTTAAATCCCAACATTCTCGTTCTGAACTTTCGTTTCCAAATCCAACTAAAATAGGATCTGTCAACATGCATAGCCTTCGTAAATAAACGTGAAACAGACGCAAACGGTATAACGTAACACAATAAAAACATCATTTATGATATTAAACGGTAAAACGTAACACAATAAAAACATCATTTATGATATTTAACGGTATAACGTAACCCAATAAAAACATCATTTATGATATTAAACGGTAAAACGTAACACAATAAAAACATCATTTATGATATTAAACAGTATAACGTAACACAATAAAAACATCATTTATGATATTTAACGGTATAACGTAACCCAATAAAAACATCATTTATGATATTAAACGGTAAAACGTAACACAATAAAAACATCATTTATGATATTTAACGGTATAACGTAACACAATAAAAACATCATTTGTGATATTAAACGGTATAACGTAACACAATAAAAACACCATTTATGATATTAAGCGGTATAACGTAACACAATAAAAACATCATTTATGATATTAAACGGTAAAACGTAACACAATAAAAACATCATTTATGATATTTAACGGTATAACGTAACCCAATAAAAACATCATTTATGATATTAAACGGTAAAACGTAACACAATAGAAAAAATCATTTATGATATTAAACGGTATAACTTAACACAATAAAAACATCATTTATGATATTAAACAGTATAACGTAACACAATAAAAACATCATTTATGATATTTAACGGTATAACGTAACCCAATAAAAACATCATTTATGATATTAAACGGTATAACGTAACATAATAAAAACATCATTTATGATATTAAACGGTATAACGTAACATAATAAAAACATCATTTATGATATTAAACGGTATAACTTAACACAATAAAAACATCATTTATGATATTAAACAGTATAACGTAACACAATAAAAACATCATTTATGATATTTGACGGTATAACGTAACACAATAAAAACATCATTTGTGATATTAAACGGTATAACGTAACACAATAAAAACATCATTTACGATATTAAACGGTATAACGTAACACAATAAAAACACCATTTATGATATTAAGCGGTATAACGTAACACAATAAAAACATCATTTATGATATTAAACGGTAAAACGTAACACAATAAAAAAAATCATTTATGATATTAAACGGTATAACTTAACACAATAAAAACATCATTTATGATATTAAGCATCAACGTCAACAATCTCTTTTCCAATCTACTTTTCTTAGACTGACATTTTGTGTATTTAGATGCATTGATCCTTCTCCTCCAGTAAATCAAGTTTCACTTCCAGCTTTAGAGCATGACCTCTGTGTTAAGTAACGATATCAGCTACCTCTCGGTATTGTCTGTATTTCAGTACCATGTCGTCGGTGTTAAGTGCAATGTCAGCCATGTTTTGGGAGGATATCGTCAAACCGCACATGAAACCTATGTCTGAAAGAAAGGCCATGCGCATCACACAGTTATCAGGTAACCCTTTAACGATTTGACCGCAGATTCTTATAAAACATTCTTTAATGTTTTTTCATCCATTCTTGGTTTTTTTTCTCGATTCTCTTATTAATCACTGATGCTTTGAACGATCTCTCAAAAACATGATTTTGCTTCTTTGAACTGACAGCCTAAATATGCCAGATAAGTTATTTAGGGTATAGGTGATGAATGATTACTTCCTTATCATCAAAAGTTTACAATTTGCTTTTCTCTGAACGATTATGGAGATATGTAGATGTAATTGAATTTAATTTTATTGTGTATAATTTTCATCGTGTATAATTGCAGTATTTATTTTCGGAGGGCTGACTATAATTGTTACCTTTGCTATATCTGGTATAGATGGACCTATATCTCGGGTAAGTTTCACGTGTATGAATAACGTAATCAAACAATAACATGCTATGTATAAGAAAATATACCGTCATGGTGAACAACTTCATGCTATTTCTGTTAGTATACTTGAAATGGAAATACAGATTGAATATGATTGATAAACAGGCAAAACGTGTTTTTCATTCGTTATCCTTGTATCTTTGTTTTTCTACATATTAATATAATCAGTTTTTATATATGAATATTCTTTTTATAATTTTATGATATGCATTTTTTTAAAGATATGTGATATTACTGGAGCGTGCATTATCGGGGCATTGTACGGCATGATGTTACTTGGCTGGTTTGTACCGAGAGCAAACTCCTTGGTAAGTCTTCACTGCGTATCTGTATACACCATTAATCACGGAATAATCATTTACAATTGATGTAAGTGTAGCGTCGTAAAGTATTGAGGCTTGACGTCTTTGATGTAAGTGAAGCGTCGTAAAGTATTAAGGCTTGACGTCTTTGCTGTACGTGTAGCGTCGTAAAGTATTAAGGTTTGACGTCTTGCCGGATACTTTTATTGACAAAGTGCGACTTGAGATTTAAAATTCTGTCTACGTGGTTTATCTTAATTAACCAACTCAGAACAATATATTAAAGAAAATAAAGCAGCAGTCGCGAGGTATGTACTTGTACCTGTACAAACAGCGAATTCGATCATCGTTACTTTGAAGCTTTTCCCCTCGCCTCGAGTAACATGAGAAAACTGTTTGAGTAATACATTTTTGTGTGGAAAGGCCAGGAAACTTGTTTGCGCTGACGAAAAAACACTTTAGCATCGAAAAAATTAGGGGGAATCTATATTTATGTCAATAAAAACTTAATTTTTAGTATATTAATATTAGGATTGAACGATAGATTTCCAGGATTAGACATGCAAACATCAGGAAAGTAGCAGAATTCGCATAGTATTTTGCTGTGTCTTTTATGTTTATTTTTGGGTTGATGACTATATATTTGAGGTTTAATTTTGTTCAGACTTATGCTTGTTTGTTTTAATAGGGTGCATTAGTGGGAGGAATGGTCTCTTTCCTGTTTGTAGGATGGATATCGTTCGGGAAACTGGTTTCGTCAGGAGTACGTGTTGATGCAAAATTAGAACCGGCATCAACAGATAATTGCCCAGTGTTCAATGTTACCGGAATGACAAACGCAACGTTAATGGAATACACGTATTCAGAGGCCACCTGGAATAGTTCAAGTACGATAGCTGGTGCGACACAGACAGACATCGTTTCTGAACCGTAAGTTGACATAAACAAACACAATTTGTAGTTATATTCATTGAATACCAAATATGTCATGTTGTAATGTAGTGCTTAAGTTAACAATATATGGTGATTGTTATATTGTTGATGATAGAAATAAATCAACAAAATATCCAGAAGTAAGCTATTTGATACTCAATGTGCTCAATGAAAATATTATAGGTTTATCAAACACGTCAAATAATCAGAAAGTTCAAAACATACATAAAACAATTTTTTGATATATTGACAGACAAGGACTGGATATTCTTTACTCTCTGTCTTATAAATGGTTGATGCCGATTGGGTTTTCTTTGGTATTCATTGTTGGATCCATCATCAGTCGTTTCCAAGGTAAGAAAGTAGTATGTAATATGTTATGCAATATAGAAATCATCAATGGCACCCTTTGTGAGTGTTGCTCCAATCATATGATCACAATACAAAGAAAAGTCGCAAAATCCAGTAAAACAAATAACAGTAAAAAGAAAAAATGCATAATAAACAACATTTATAGAGTGACCCATAACAACATATGGTTGTTATGATAAGTTATAATTGTTTAACAAAAAAGGCCTACAATCACCATTAAGCAAGAAGCTTATGATCTCAATGTGCACATATATTTGCAAATAGCCTAAAATGCAGACGCGAAGAGGTGAGATTTTATGTCCTTCTTGAATTTGGCCAGGGTATTTGACTTTCTCATATCAGATGGTGGAGGCATGGTAGTCTAGTGTTAAGACGTCGGGCTCGTGACCGAGGGTTGCGGGCTCGAGTAACGGCACGGCTCTGTATTGTATCTTTGAGCAAGATAATTGACTTCTCTTGTTCCAGTCTACTTATCTGTAAATGAGTACGTGATTGGGCAGTGCTAGAATTGTTGAATGATAGCTGTTAGCGTCGGAATGGCAGATCCGGCTGTATGGTCCCCAGGGAGTTAAGAAAGATATTGGCTGGTTGTAAATGCCCTTTAACCTACGAACTAGGTTGTGATAAAGCGGTATATAAGAATCTCGAATTAACATTATTATTATTATGATAAGCTAATCCACAACGTGGCACAAGTTTCCATAGGTAACAGTACGAGAATTCGGGACACACATCAACGATTCTGTCTCCGACCGCAGTGATCGTGACGGCTGACACAGGGTAACAAGTGTATACCAAAAGTGTGTACTGCGACCTGTATCGTACTGGTAACCAGTACAATGAATATAGAACAGGTGGCACATGCTTTCTCTTTCGGGTACGAGTAACCAGGCGTGCTGCAGTGTTCTTGACCCTCTACAGACAACACAAACAGGGCTCAATAGTCGTTTTGATCAGATCAGGTATGGCTACAGCTACTTCTCGTTACCATTTTTGTATGATGTTTGTATATTGACAATTGATATAAAGATTTTGCGACAACATAAATCTTCCTTTTTACGTTAACAGCTCGAGAGCCTGTAGACCCATCTTTAATTATACCAGTGTGTGATTATCTATGTTGCTGTATTCCGGAAAGAATTAGGAGAAAAATCCGGTGTGGAGTCGAATATCCTGGAACGGATAAGGTACACCGTCAAAGGCAGTAAATAACTCTAAAAATATTATCATTATAACCAATTGTCCCCGCATTCCATTTTCTTCCCAGATTAAATATGTTCAGCAAATATGCATCTGGGTTAGATCTATTCTTCAACGCTTTTTAAGCTCGAACATCCTTAACACAAAATATGGTTAGAAATGGACCTGCTTATTACTTGAATATTAATAAGAATCGTTAGTAACAAACAAAACAGGAACCTAAGGAGGGTTATTAGGCAGAACACAACTTACAGCATTTTATGCAATAAGCGTGTTTGTATTTAATCTGTTTTCATCGATTTAATTGAAACATAAATTTTAAAATAAAAAAAGTTAATTGAAAACCAATTTACCAAAAATAATGTCAAATTGTTATCAAGTTGTTATAACATATCATTTTTGTTAACAGAAAATGGTCGAAGACGAAGCGGAATCAATGAAGGAACTTGTATCTGCTCAGAAAAATGTTCCGACGATTTAGGTGGTATTTGACAGTGCATTTACTACTTCTTATCCCCACCAAGCAGCTGTAAAGATAATTAACTAAGCCATATTTTTCAACTGTGAAATTTCAACTAACTTTGAAAAAAAACAAATTATCGACATCTTGACCAAATGCTTAACTATGATATTTGTACTAAATTGTTTATAAGATTATAAAGTTGTTCAGTGCGTCTTAGACAATTTATGACGTCATATTATTTTCATGATTTTCCTTTTGGCGCGCCCGGGCCCTTTCTCAGGAAACCTTTTTATGCTCGAACTCAGATAATGTGCTCAGGTACAACTTTTAATGGTTTAAATTAATATGAAAAAATCCATGATTTGGAGGAAGATTGAAGAGACATAAAGCTGAGTACCGGGCTTTTTTCTTTACACTTGAAATTTTGATCATTTTATGTGAATTTAAACGAGTAACAAGTTTTTTACTTTGAGCACAGAATCTATGATTGAGCATAAGAGTACTTCATGAATTGGGCTCCTAGTCTGGGTCATTTTTGATGAATTGTGATCTAGGTTTTTTTGCTATAGTACATATCTTCTCTGTTCATTGTGTTGATATTTCATTTCGACACCAAATTGCTACATTCAGTTGTTATAACGCTGCCACAAACAATGTATCAAATACCTCAATAAACACTATGGTCTTTCCTAATGGAACGTGACTATTAACCGTTTGTTATAGAATTATGTCAAAAAATAATGTTTACTTGTATATGTTTTAGATAAAACAAAAAATTCCCGTAGTCTTCCGTAAATACCATTGTTCGTGTACCTAACCTGATGTCGATGGCATGGTTAATTTGAAGCATACTTTAGATGGCAAAGGAAATTCAGAAAGCCTTTTGTAGATAAAATCGAACATATCTTTATACTGCAGTAAATAAAAACACAGCATAAACACCTTAGCTTTCTCCGAAATTCTCCGCTTTGCTTAAAACTCTAATATGATATATGGCGTATCCCAAGTCTGATGTAGAGTTTATATGTAGTCTTCCGAACCTGTTTTACGTAACATTGATACTCTCCCAGATATATGAGCTTACAATTGTGGTATTTGTAAATAGGATTGGTAGGATTTGCGGGTAAATCGAGATATGCATGTTTTTATATTTACAATCGTGTACACGTATCATTGCAATATATACTCGTTGCAATCCTGTAGAACAATATTTGTAAAGGAATTCAATAGGTGTATATTGTTTATTTTAATAAATTTATAAACATGATGTATTTTTCTGTTATTTTGTTGTCCTCCAATCATACAAAACGTTTAAAGCTGTTGAAATACTTGAAACAATATTTACATATTGGAGTCAAGAATGTTACTCGTTGGTCAACAGACACGTAATATACGTCTGACTTAAATTCTGTTCAATTGAGTCAAAAAAAAAAACTATGTCATGAAAAAGATTGACAATTACATAGCTCTCAGAACTTTTACACATTATTATTTTCTTTGAACACATTTCTTGCAAGTTGCTTTTGTTAAACACAACATGGCTGTTGAACAATGCAGAAAATCTTATCTCATGTCTTGTCCCATTCACCGCGATTGTCACGGCAAGATATTTTAATGCATACATTACTCAGTACCATAAAAAGTCCTTAGATGCTGATTTACTTTCCGTTTGTTTGACGCCTAAATTGAATAAGCGTCTTGATAGACAACGATTTATTGCAACGTCAAGCATTAGAACAGAAACAAACCTCAGTAATAGATGAATATCAAAAGTATTCTGATGGTACTGCTCATCCATGTAACACTGATGGTACTGCTCATCCATGTAACACTGATGGTACTGCTCATCCATGTAACACTGATGGTACTGCTCATCCATGTAACACTGATGGTACTGCTCATCCATGTAACACTGATGGTACTGCTCATCCATGTAACACTGATGGTACTGCTCATCCATGTAACACTGATGGTACTGCTCATCCATGTAACACTGATGGTACTGCTCATCCATGTAACACTGATGGTACTGCTCATCCATGTAACATATTTGTGACTACTTGCTTTACCAAATAACTATCATTATAACAACAATGTAATGAAGTTCCTATCACTTTGTATACACCACTTAACGGAAATCGCGTCTCAAATATCATTCTTTTGTCTGCAATAAGTGAAAGTAGATAGAAACATTATGCCGTCATTAAAAACGAACATTTAACATCACATTACTAAAACATTCGGCACTCGTCTTACCGCAAGAGGAACACAAAGTAAACGCAGATATATCGATCAATACCTGCAAAGGGAATATAATTAATCACCTTTAACAGTCATTCACACACAAACCCCTATAATTGTAAACCTAGTAATAAATGACAATCGGGAACACAACGATCGTATAAAATTCCTCAAATAATGAACGTTGAAACGGCCTTTACATAAAACACCAACTTACCTGTGTTCTGTAAGCAATGCTATGTAATGCACTATGGCGTCAATGGAGAGGTTTAAGCGTTGATATATCTTAAAGGGATATTTACACTTGTCTTTCGTATCTCACGTTTCATTGTATCTTAATTGGTGTGAAAATAAATTGCTGGAAGTGAAAAAAAATGCTGTGCCTAAAGAACGAAAAAAATTATTCCTAAGATTTCAGAATGAGAGTCAATATTCCATCACAATAAATCCACTCAGATTCGTGAAAACTTATAGAGAGATATTTGAGCTAACGATAGCATATGGTTTCAATCATGCAAAAAGTATATGTCCCATGTTGTATCGAAGTGCATCTTTATATACATGTACTATACAATATTGACAGTTAACATGAAAATGTCATTTAACTATCGAAGAATTATTTTTACTTTTTTTGTTAAAATCTATTTACCGATCAGCTAACCGCAAAAATAACGCCACGAGTACATTTACCATAGATGTTTTTTTTATCTCTTAAATTTGTACGTGCAATCTTATGACCTGGCCAAAAAGGAAAGCTAATCCTGAATTATGTGCTTGAATTATTAATAGAAACAATACGTATTTTCAGACGCATTTGCACTCATATCAAGTATCAACGATTCACTTAGTCAGAAGAGATCAAATTCTGCTATTGTCTTAAACCTCGTTGACTGTTAATGTTTGGAAAGAAAACCAAGGTAGGAATATATGTAGCAAGGAATGACAGACAAGTGGCAGTAATGGAACGTTTTTTAATGTCAGATGTTTGCTGATTATAGATGCAGAATGAAAGTATGCACAGTGCATCTGTATGCTTATATTTGACAGTGGCAAAAATATGTTAAACTAATTTTGTTCATGTACTTTCCTACCAAAATGCCGGAATGTTCCTAATATCATAAGTCACTAAGAGTACCACACACTTAGGATCTATGAAATCACAATGTAGGATACATTTTGGTCAACTACTTTCCACTAAATTATGTTGAGCTGAAGCTAATATAGTTTCTCCTACCGAATCGTGTATTTTCTACGTTCTCTGTTGGATAGGACTAATGCTAAGCCTTGCCCACCCTGTTTGATTTGGTTGTATTTATGCTATAATTGTGTATGGGCTATTTCAATACATGTTTAAAATACGATACATTTATATTCTGGAACTTCAGTGGAAGGGACCATATCCTGTGGAGGAGAAAGTTGGGTCACTTGACTACAAGATCAATGTAGCAGGAAAAATCAAAACTGTTCATGCTAACACGTTGAAAGAGTATGTGGAACGTAAAAACTTGTCAGTGACAGACACTAAAATTGGTGTGTTTGAATGTGCAGCGGTATCCGTACTAGAGGGGACTTATGAGGACAGTGAAGATAACTTATAGGACATCAAGGAGGAAAATTCATTACTGTCACCACATTTGGAAGCTACCGAGACTGTCTCTGATGTCAACAGGGCAGAAAACATGACACAGAAACATCGTGGGGAAACCATTGCGTTATTGGATGAATTCAAGGATGTATTAACCGATTTGCCGGGATGCACAAAGTTAGCTACAGACGAGGTCAATACGACAACACCTGAACCAGTACGTGTTAAACCCTACCCCATTACAATAAAATTATAGACACTGTAAAAACAGAAGTCGACAAGATGCTTTCTATGGGGGTTATATAACCGTCAGAGTCAGACAACAATTCGCCAATTGTGTTGGTGCGGAAAACAGATGGTGGATGTCGTTTCTGTATTGACTATCGGCAGTTGAATATGGTGACACTTTTTGATGCAGAACCGATGACGTCAGCTGATGATTTGTTTGTAAAGTTGGCAGGTAACCAGTTTTATAATAAATTAGACCTGAGCAATGGATATTGGCAGGTCCCATTGGACCAGGCAGACAGAAAGAAAATGCATTCTCGACACCGTTTGGGCTCTTTCATTATAAGGTAATGTCTTTTGGATTGCTCAACTCGCCCTCAATATTCAACAGGCTCATGAAGAAATTACTTAAGGGAATGGACAACCTGGATAACTTTGTGGATGATATTATTATCTTTACCAAAACATGGGAGCAGCAGGTAACCACACTGAGAGACTAATTTGACTGCGAGACCATCCAAATGTTTAATTGGGTACGAAGGCATAGACTGCATTGGCCATGTGGTTGGACGAGACATTATTCAGCCAGCCGCAGCTAAGCTGGACGCGATACTACAGGCACCCAGGCCAACAACAAAAAAAACAAGTTCGATCTTTCATTGGGCTTGTTAGTTTCTACAGGAAGTACATACCAAACTTTGCTAGCATCGCGGTCCCACTCACAGGTCTCACCAGAAAGGGAATGCCTAACAAAGTTGTGTGGGACACTGCAAAGGAAAACGCGTTTTCTACGNATTCAGTTATCGAGAAGGAGTGTCTGGCATTGACATGGGGTGTCAATAAATTTGCACAGTACTTGTTGGGCACAGAGTTCTGTGTACAAACTGATCATCATCCATTGATGAGTTTAACGGATAAGAAGGTGGCCAACGCGCGACTCATGCGATGGGCACTCCTGCTTCAACCATACAGGATGAGGATACAGGCAATCCCTGGGAGAGAAAACATAGGAGCAGACTACTTGAGCCGAGTCATAGCCTAAAGCCTATTGGCCCAAAGCAGAATACTGTTGATAGGTTGGTTAGGGTATAATATACATTGCCAGTGTAGTTGTCGTTTTAACAGTTTAAAGACTTTGGGAGATGGTTAGTTAAAAAGATGTAAAATCTTTTTTTAAGGAAGGGAGGCAATGTCACATAGTCATGTGTACATATGATACGATAGTACCGAGGGTTATCGATCACAGGTTATTGTATATATATAAGTACAGAGGGGGCCGATTGCGGGTTGGTATGTACAGAAGGAAGATCATTGGATAGTCGTTGTTAATCTTCATTTTTTGAATGATTATTATTTCATTTCAATCCGAGCGTAGCTTACACTTAGTAGTGAGAACACGGGCTAATCAATTCGTGGCAGTCGCCATTTTTCCCACACGGAGTGAGGTACCTGCGAACATGATGGGCTAGAGCGAGGTTAGGAAGAGTCCCCGGGGGTGAGTGTTATGTTACACTTAGATACAAATGCATATGGTTTATGTTAATAATTATGAATTAAGCTGTCAGTAAATATTTGTTCAGCTATAAGTCAAGTTAAGTAGTCGCTGTCAGCGGCACTCTACTGTCTGAGTATAGTATAGCCGAGGTGGTCGTTAAGCTAAAATATTACGTGCTTTGCCTCGTTGAGAGTGGAATATATATGTAAATATTATTCAATTATATCCATGTTAAGCCTAATAGATTAGTTCATGACAGTAAAAGTTTGTATTTTGTTAATACCAGTCCAAGGTGGTGTTGTATTAGCAACCATGCGGTAGGCAGGCGTGCGGCTAGTCACGTGACCTGACACATGTAAACAGTAAACAAGAACACGTGGCGGCTGAAGTTATGAAGGGGCCGCAGTGTGTAGTACTGGTTCTACGATGAACTTTTACAACTATACTATTGGTACAACTGTATTATTGGTACAACGATATTGGTACAACTATAGTATTGGTACAACTATATTATTGGTACAACTATATTACTGGTACAACTGTATTATTGGTACAACTATATTATTGGTACAACTATATTACTGGTACTACGACTGGGATGAAGCTCTCAGTGGTGGTGGATGTCCGATGTTCCCCTACAGTTCGTCGTGGTCTTATGATGTCCGATCTCCTCTACACCGAGGCGACTTCAGCAGTTCATGGTGAAAGGACGATGTAATTCTGTGCGCCGCAGAGACAGTTGTTTGCGGAGGGACATGTACTTATGCATTGTGCTGTGGACAGACTGGTTGTACTAGATTACTAATAAACGGTATATCTACAGTAATGTGTGAACAATCTAGGGTGGTCAAATAACACCATTAGGCCAGTAGGTTTAATTACAAAGGTTTCTCAGTGAGAGTATGTATTTATGTATGATTTTTGAGTATCATTTATGTGGTAATTATGCAACCTGTTATGGTTATCCGTCTATTATCTACATGTAGTACTATTGGACCCCGGGGATAGTCACCTATTTTTATATGATATTTGTAGTTAGAATCATACTCGAAACTACTGGCTTATTCTTGTTATAAGTGGGTTATTTTTTGTAATTTTTGTCAAGAAAAGTTACAGGTTACAGGTCAGAGGTCAGCGAGTGGACAGGTTTTAGCCTATATCACAGCCATGGAAACACGTAAACTGACAGAGACGGGGAACATCTTAATATACAACGTAATACACCTACACATAAACTGACAGAGATTGGGGATCATCTAAAAAATATAACGTAATACACCTACAGGTAAACTGACAGAGACAGGGAACATGTTAACATATAACGTAATACACCTACACGTAAACTGACAGAGACAGGGAACATGCTAAACTATAACGTAATACACCTACACGTAAACTGACAGAGACAGGGAACATGCTAAACTATAACGTAATACACCTACACGTAAACTGACAGAGACAGTGAACATCTAAAAATATAACGTTATACACCTACACGTAAACTGACAGTGACTAGGGAACACGTTAACATATAACGTAATACCCCTACACGTAAACTGACAGAGACAGGGAACACGTTAACATATAACGTTATACACCTACACGTAAACTGACAGAGACAGGGAACACGATAACATATAACGTAATACACCTACACGTAAACTGATAGAGACAGGGAACATCTAAAAATATAACGTTATAAACCTACACGTAAACTGACAGAGACAGGGAACATGTTAAACTATAACGTAATACACCTACACGTAAACTGACAGTGACTAGGGAACACGTTAACATATAACGTAATACTCCTACACGTAAACTGACAGAGACAGGGAACACGTTAACATATAACGTTATACACCTACACGTAAGCTGACAGTGACAGGGAACACGTTAACATATAACGTAATACACCTACACGTAAACTGATAGAGACAGGGAACATCTAAAAATATAACGTTATAAACCTACACGTAAACTGACAGAGACAGGGAACATCTAAAAATATAACGTAATACACCTACACGTAAACTGACAGAGACAGTGAACATCTAAAAATATAACGTTATACACCTACACGTAAACTGACAGTGACTAGGGAACATCCAAAAATATAACGTTATACACCTACACGTAAACTGACAGAGACAGGGAACATAGGGGAAACGTCACACACACTTACACAGTATACACACATTCACCATATGTATATATACCATAATACGTTAATGCATTATATCTTTAATAAACTCAACGTACACTATGTACTATTTTCGGCGGGATGATATTTTTGCTATTGCACGAAAGTTGTTTCGTAGAATAATGTGACAAACGCAAAAATGACCCACGATAATAAACATCATAACCGTCAGGAAATAGCGATTATGTGGTTGTAACGATTTATATACATCAAGAGAGTAATTCAAAACATCACTTTGCACGTCAGTACATCAACAAATTGACTCATTACAGGTAAATTAACATATTTGAAGCATTGGTCGTGAAACAGATCTATTTATAGTAAAGGCCAGTAACAACATTTTTGAATATTGAAACCCTATTTTACTAAATAAACGCGAAGATATGTCCGAACAACAAATTAATCTGCTATGAATTGAATGTTTTGTGGTGACATTTTCATTTACGAACATTTCATTTAAATTCAATGTGAGAAAGATAAATTCGAATTTAACAGTAGTGTATGGATTGGTCAGCACAGCAACTAAACGAAATCAACATATCAATTGAAATAATTTTGAAATCGACTCATGAATCGTGATGTTTATTTCGATAAATACAGTCAATTGCTACGTTTATTCCATTCAAGAGTACATCGTTACGTCAGTTCTACTGCATTATTGTTAATAGTTTAAAATATTCTCATAATCTGATCATTTGATATTCAAAGACATTTTCGAAACAATAAATGGCATCAATACTACATTTTAATTACCTGAACAGTAAGGTAAAATTGACTTTGTTATTCTGTCTGTCTTGCCTTTACCTGCTCTATCGTCATAAACTATCAATACATTTTGCATCTCACAATAATTCTGTGTTAAATCTGTGATCCAATTGTCATATTATTATATGACTGACACTATGCTACAGACCATGTATCATCACTTTAGGTAGCAGTGTACAGTAGAAATGGCCCGACTCTGAAAAACAAGGTACATGTCGAGGAAATGTAAACACAGCGGATTTACCCTACACAACATATATATACATGTATATATATTTGTAAACTGCGTTATATTTATAATACATATAAGATACTGAGAAGTGTATAAACCTCTTTTTTCTATGTATGTCACTTGTGTGAAAACCATGGTTACCACATCAAAAATTACCAAATAATGCTATTTTTGACCCAAAATTTGACCCCCGCAACTAGTAATTATTTTCCTAAGTTCTGTCTGAAATTAAAGATTACTTACTTGGTTGCAGAATTATCTGGGTCCCAGTAAAGTTGTACAGCTTGTTTTTTTTGCAATTTTGCGTCGTGTGCTGTTGTCAAAAGTTTACCTCCTGTAAAGCTAGCTTTTCATGTGTACGCACCCTTTCGGATTATGACCAAAATTATATTCTCGAACCAAAAAATTCCATTTTTTTTTGCAAGTGTGACGCTCACATAGCCCACATCATGCTTATACCAATTTTAGTACGTTTTTTTTATATTTTTTTACATATCACTTTATAGGGGTTAGCCATTTAACAAAAATATCACCCATGGCCACAACCCTCTACTGTAAACTGCTACCTTAGGTAACCCCAAAACTATTAATAGATTACATTCCTGCTAACTCTCAGCAACATCTCTAAAAGTCCACAGTCTTTTCAATATTTTCCTCCTTGAGTCAACCACTCAAATGAGTACTGGTGTCCCACCTTACCAGAGGCTACCGCTACAGTAAGGAAGTGAGGTGTGTTACAAAAAACTAGATGAATTGTCATAAAGCAGCCTTGGGTTTCGCTACGGATTCAAGAACAGATATATAAGGTGTCTTTGCTTTTTGTTTTTCTGCTCTTAGAAAAACAAGCATACATCTGACGCCCGGTAGATCATTGCCATCACCTTCCGCGTCATGTTTACAAAGTCGGGAGATCATTGCCATCCCCTTCCGCGTCATGTTTACAAAGTCGGGTCAGGTAAAAGACATTAAACACAGTTTATTTAAAAAAAAAAAAAGTAACATACTATTTTTAGAAACTTTATTTCAGTTTTCATTTATGTAGCGTTAAATAAAATAAACACTTATTCAGAACGCTTTGAAAGCAACTATTTCATACTCTGTATAGATAAGAAATTCATGATGTAGATATTGTAATTTCAGGCGCCTGTAAAAAAAAGTTAACAACTAATTAGTTTTGTACACGTTAAACGGTTGTATTAACAAGGCTTTGTTTTGTTTTCTCCTTTCTTGTACACTGAACCTACAACTACATACGTAAAGCTAGGTACAGTAACACCTGATGTTGCAAATCATCGCGATACAGATTTCTTTCTAAAGTAAACATCCCTGAACTTAAAAGTCTTAACAAAATTGACATAATGAATATAAGTGCACAATAAACACAACACTTATAAATACAGGTGTTTAAATACACACAAAATACATAGGCTGATAATGGAAATGTATTACGATTAAAGGTATTTAAAAAAAATATTAACATACCCCATCCCAAATAAAATATCGACTTAATTTTAACGTTTATGGTTGTTATGCTCATCCTTAATCACACTGTTGATTCGGAACAGGATTTCTCAATTAAATTTCTGTTTCTACATTGAGTCAACAACTCAAATGATGATTGATTTACCTCAATATTTGAGGTTATCGTTACAGCAAGAAATTGGATGGGTGTTAAGAAAAAATATAAATGTCTCGTGATACAGTAGATGTTTGCTTTGGTTTCGCTACTGATTCCAGAATTCCAGAACAGATGCATTTTTTTTATTTATTGCATCACCTTCTGCGTCTTGTTTACAAAGCTTTACATAACATAGTGAGATAAAATAAACACAAAACACAGTACATATATAAAACACACATAAAATCCTTTAAAATACCATTTTAATTTTCATGTATATAGAATTAAATAAAATGCAAAATAATTACTTTTCTGGAAAGGTTTTGAAAACAGCCCTTTTCATACTCTGTTTAGAAAACAAAGGGAAGTAAGTTATTGAAATTTCAGGCGCTTTAATTAACAACCAATATGTCGTATTTACATGAAACGATTATAAAAACAAGGCTATGTTTTTTTTCTTCTATTTTTTGTGTGTACTGAACCTACAACTATAGACGTTAAGCTATGTACAGTAACACCTGTTATCACCAGGGCAATTAAAGCGATCTAGAATTTGTTATTGCTTAAGTATACTTCCGCGTACTAAGAAGTATTTGATATATGTACACTATATACACATTGACATATTGAATACAAGTGCATAGTAATAGAATATTCACAAAATACATAGGATGGTAATGAAAGTCTATTAGGATTTAAGCTATTTAAACACAAATCTATTTTTACTTTTTACCATACCCCCATCCCAAAATGAATTCTCAACTCCAGTTTGACGTGTTATGGTAATCATACTGAACGTATACGTAGATCACACTGTTGATTCGGAACAAGAATTTTCACCGTAATTTCTGTTTCCATTACTAATTCGTTTCAACAACTTTTTCCAAAATACCTTTCTAGCTGTGGTAAGCTCACTTTCATCAGAACTGCGATCGTTAGGCCATGTGATAGGCCTTATTTCATCTCAGTTTTTACGAATCAGCTTAGGAAATTCACTTCGTTTCATATCATTTAATAGAATAATGACATTCATATTTTCTCGTCCGTCACGAAAAGAATACTCACTGGTTAGTTGCATTGTGAATGTTTGCCATTCACTCTTAAAATAATTGCAGCTTACAACAAAAACAGACTTGCGTGAGTTATCGATAGCGTTCATAATGTTGTCACTTATGTTTAACCCTGGAGCGAAACTTTTTTCATCAAAACAGTATTCAATATTTTCCTGGTCAAGCCAAGGGGAAAGTGTTTTAGCAACCCATTTAGTATCATCATCACAGTAAGTTATAAAGACATCGAATGGGAATACTATATTGTCCAAAGGCCGTCTACACCACACTCTTAATTTCACACTGTGTCTGAAGACCACTCGGGATAGGAAAGCCGTAATAATGAGAACGATGGTCATTATCAGAGATGTGATTAACCAGAATTGAGAAGCACAACTCTCCTTAAACTGACCAAAGGTTTGAAGGAACGTCATCACCTTTATCTGACTGCCATCTGGTGTACTGCACGAAAGATCCTCTCTGTTATATAATATGTTGGTTGTGCCAACCCAGTCAAGGAAGTCCAGTACTTCACAGCTGCACATCAACGGGTTTCCGAACAGATTCACTTTGAATGTTGGAGATTTAGTTTGATGTGTATCCAGAAGTGCAATGTCTGATTTTGTCAACGTCGATATGACATTATGACTTACATCTAAAGATTCTAAGGCATGAAGTTCCATCATGATGTGCGTATGGAGGCTAACCAACTTATTTGAAGCGAGAGTTAACGTTTTCAGCGAATATTGCTGATCCGCAAATATTCTGGGGCTCAATAAATCTATGTTATTCGCGGAAAGATCCAGGACAGTGAGATTGTACCTTCCTTTGAATAATAAACTGTTATCTTTGGCAAGCACATGTCCGAGGCTACATTGTTTTGCTTCTAATTTTAAAAGGTTTGGCATATCGGCAAACATTTCCGGATTAGGATATGAACACTCAAATCCTGATATGTAGAATTCTGTTAGATTGACCAAACCTTTTAAACGTCCATAGGAGCACGACGGATGCCTCAACGGATAACTCACATCCAGGACTCTGAGACCATTACTTTCAGAAAATGTTATATTTTCAGTAAATCCAATAGGGTCCCAGGATACATTTACATATATAAGAGAATGGGGTAGAAAGATCGTGTGTTTTGTTATAAACTCTGCTGAACGTTTCCTTACCGTTTGTTGTGTTTGTTTTGAGCCATATACATGAGTTATAGATGGAAACAATACCAGAAGGGTAAAAAGTTGAAAGGACTTGAACTTATTTGAGGACATATCTAATATTTCCAGACATTTTCTACTCGACCATGACAACACAGCGCCCATGTCTATGCCCTTTATATTATTCTTAGTAAGATCAAGTCTTCGAACACCTATTGTGCGTAGATACACGAAGTCCGATTTCACCAACAATACACCACTGTCAGTCAAATAGCGGTTCCCTGTCAATGCTAGATATTCCATTTTTCTCTTTTGTAATCCGTAAAGTGTTGTTAGGACATCTCTGATTTCAATTGTTCGCCTTGAATCGAACTTGAGTGATATTAGATGGCGAAATGGGAACAATGCGTTTATTTCAAACCTTTTCATTCGTAACTGTAAAACTAAATGAGATATGGCTGTCCGCTCAAGTCCAACGAATGTCGAATTCAGAATCGATATTCTATCTCTTATAACTTGATTCAAATTGATTTGTTTAAGCTTGGTCAAATTCAAAAACCCAATTCCGAAACGGAATCCTTCGAAAGCATCTATGTGTAGGGTTTCAACCTGTGACAAGTACGGTATTGCATGCTCGGGATAGGTTTTCTTTAAATGAAACCTATTTTGTCGTATATCCAGGTGTGTCAAACGTATTAAAGGTTGAAAAGTGGACACATCAAACGATGAATTATCGAGAAGGTTGTTTAATAAATCGAGGTATTTTAGGTTCTTCAAACCGTCAAATGCTCCTGGCGAAATCCTTGATAATACGTTGGAAGATAATGTCAGATTGTCTAGTTGATGTAGATATCTGAAAGAATCCTTATGTATTATAGTCAGGTTGTTGTTATGTAGATTTAACGCAGTCGCGTTAATTGGTAAATCCTCTGGTACAGTTTGTAGACGACATCCTGAACAGTTGACATTTATCACAGCTCCTATGGTGACGACATCACAGCAGCCATTCATTCCAGCTAAAAAAATACAAAAAAATGATCAATTTTGATAAACAGCTTTATAAAACGCAACATGCAGTTTTGGTGCCTATGCAGACACTATTCAATGACGTGAAAATAAAAATATTTTGTTTGCAAATGCATTACAAAACACATACTAAAATCACAAATGAGCAAGTTTGCGAGATATGTTGCTCCTCCTAACAACTTTTATGACGGTATTGTCAGTTAATTTAAATTTTGTCAACCAGGAAGTTTATCGGATTTATTCGCAATGTTAAAGATTAAATGACATCAATGCATCACGTTCATCTTTCAAGGTAAAATTTGTTGTGCTTTGGACGATAATACAGTTGTATATGTCATTGGAGTTTAAATACTCTATACATGTCATCATATTGTATATGTCATTGGAGTTTAAATCCTCTATATAGGTCATCATATTGTATATGTCATTGGAGTTTAAATCCTCTATATAGGTCATCATATTGTATATGTAATTGGAGTTTAAATACTCTATACACGTCATCATATTGTATATGTCATTGGCGTTTAAATACTCTATACATCTCATCATATTGTATATGTCATTGGCTTTTAAATACTCTATACATGTCATCATATTGTATATGTCATCGGCGTTTAAATACTCTATACATCTCATCATATTGTATATGTCATTTGAGTTTAAATACTCTATATGTCATCATATTGTATATGTCATTGGAGTTCATATGCTCTATACATGTCATCATATTATATATGTCATTGGAGTTAATATAAATCCATAAAGTGTGTTTATTTATATAGAGATTAATGTTAAGAGTAAATATCTACCATCAGATTTTGTTTTTGTCTTAAAGTTGATATGTCATCAGCGATATCATATGTGCTAATGTTTGTATGTTTTCAGAGTATATATATGGTAATTCATCATCAGAGTGTATATATATGGTAAACATCATCAGTGGGTATATGTGTGGTAAACATCATCAGTGTGTATGTGTGGTAATGCATCAACAGTGTGTATATGTGGTAAACATTATCAGAGTGTATACATGGTAATACATCATCAGTGTGTATATATGTGGCAATACATCATCAGAGTGCATGTATGGTAATACATCATCAGAATGTATATATGATAATACATCATCAGTGTGTATATATGGTAATATATCATGAGTGTGAATATATGCTAATATGTCATGAGTGTGTATATATGGTAATACATTATGAGTGTGTATATATGGTAATACATTATCAGTGTATATATATGGTTATACATCATCAGTGTGTATAGGTGTGGTAATATATCATCAGAGTGTATATATGGTAATACATCATCAGTTTGTATATATGGTAATATATCATCAGTGTGTATATATGTGGTAATATATCATCAGAGTGTATATATGGTAATACATCATCAGTGTGTATATATGGTAATACATCATGAGTGTGTATATATGGTAATACATCATGAGTGTGTATATATGGTAATACATTATGAGTGTGTATATATGGTAATACATTATCAGTGTATATATGTGGTAATACATCATCAGTGTATATGTGTGGTAATATATCATCAGAGTGTATATATGGTAATACTCATCATTGTGTATATATGGTAATATATCATCAGTGTATATATATGGTAATATTTCATCAGTGTGTATATATGCGGTATTACATCATCAGTGTATATATATTGTTATATATCATCAGTGTATATATATGGTAATACATCATCAGTGTGTATATATGGTAATACATCATCAGTGTGGATATATGTGGTAATACAACATCAGTGTATATATATGGTAATACATCATCAGTGTCTGTATATGGTAATAAATCATCAGAGTGTATATATGGTAATACATCATCAGTGTGTATATATGGTAATACATCATCAGTGTGTATATATGGTAATACATCATCAGTGTGTACATATGGTAATACATCATCAGAGTGTATATATGGTAATACATCATCAGTGTGTGTATATGGTAATACATCATCAGTGTGTACATATGGTAATACATCATCAGTGTGTATATATGTGGTAATACATCATCAGTGTGTATATATGTGGTAATACATCATCAGTGTGTGTATATGGTAATACATCATCAGTGTGTATATATGTGGTAATACAACATCAGTGTAGATATATATGGTAATACATCATCAGTGTCTGTATATGGTAATACATCATCAGAGTGTATATATGGTAATATATCATCAGTGTGTGTATATGGTAATACATCATCAGTGTGTGTATATGGTAATACATTATCAGTGTGTGTATATGGTAATGCAACATCAGTGTCTATATGTGTGGTAATACATATATAACATTTAAATGACATAAAAGTACATATATGTCATAATGTTTATATTTCACCACAGTTTATAAATAGGTCGGATTGTTGGGGATTTGACACGATACCATATAGCAGAGAAGTTATTACTTCTGGGACGGAAAACACGAATAGCTTTGAGATGAGACAGACCATGCGTAACGACACGTTTGATTAGAAGTCAATTTGTTGTTGTTTTTATCGTGACCCGGATCTTACGTTATGCTAACATTTAATCAAATAATACTATATGTTTTCAGTCTTTGATATGTATTTAATTATGCATAGCAGTTACTCAAATCTCATAGCTTAAACAACACTGTTCTTAAAAGAAAAGAATGCCTGATGCAAAAAATTCCTATCATGATAATATACTACAGGTCAGGAATACTTTGCATATCAATTTAAAATATTGCTGTAATGAAATTAACTTGTTTTCTTTTTGAACCAACATCATCAGATGCCTGCAATCATTAATGAAAAGATCACCACGTCATCACAAAAGTAAAATTATCTGAAATTCCTGAAGCAAAATGAACTAACTATATAATCATCACTGAAGTTAAAGTTACAACGCCATCACTGACATATAAATGACTACGTTATCGCTGAAACAAAAGTAAGCACGTCATCATTGAAGCAAAAGTAAGCACATCATTAGAGAAGTAAAAGTTACCTGTCTTCGCTGAAGTAAATGTAACCATTTCATCAAGAATGTAAATGTTACCTGGTATCATTAAAGTCAAGGTTGTTACGTCATCACCAATGTAAATGTTACCTGGTATCATTTAAGTCAAGGTTTTTACGTCATTACTAATGTAAATGTTGCTTGGTATCATTTAAGTCAAGGTTTTTACGTCATCACCAATGTAAATGTTACCTGGTATCATTTAAGTCAAGGTGTTTACGTCATCACTGATGTAAATGTTACCTGGTATCATTTAAGTCAAGGTTTTCACGTCATCACTAATGTGAATGTTACCTGGTATCATATAAGTCAAGGTTTTTACGTCATCACCAATGTAAATGTTACCTGGTATCATTTAAGTCAATGTTTTTACGTCATCACTAATGTAAATGTTACCTGCTATCATTTAAGTCAAGGTTTTTACGTCATCACCAATGTAAATGTTACCTGTAGTTATAAATGAAGTTAAAGCTCATCAATTAATGAGAAGTTACCTGACATTACTTAAGTAAACGCTACCACGTCATCTCTATATTAGCACTATTGTCATTGTAACGTTTAAGGTGATATAAAACAGATATTATTTTGTTGTTTTGTTACCTGTAATGTGGAACATGGCAAAAGAGCAGATGATGTACACCACGGTGTTGTTCGCCATCTTGTGAACTGCTGAAATTCATAAACTTAATATAGCATGACGTGCCCTATTACATATAGGCGGACGTCTGTATTTTTGTTAGCTCTCGGGGAAGCTAATGCCTTACGCAGTCTACAGAAACGAAATTGAACAAATGTTTTGTCAGGAAAGGTATCCTGTCTGTTTGATAACCGCGTAAACAAACTTAATCTGCGTCATAAAATAAGCATCATCACCATTGTCTGTTTTCCACCACTTTGACTTTAAAATGACCTTAGCTGATGATAGGACGTTAAGCCTTATAAAACCATAACTTTGGTAAGACAGCACACAGCATGGTCAGTCTAGTAATCTAAAAAAAATATTCAGTTGAAGACTTCGTTCTTAAGAATGTCGATTGTTAGGTTTATTATAATAAATCACTACATTGTATGAATATTTCATTAATCCGGCCTTTTGTGATATCTGTTCTCGAGTAAATACTATTGTTTCATCACTCCAACTGTAATTAATATTGAATATCGACTTTGGGGTTCTGTTGAAGTCATTTCTGCCTTTATCTTCATCAACAACCGATAGATATATTTCATCAAAGTGATGTGTTGAAACTGTGATCTCAATATCTATATCTATATCTTTATGTTGTATGACTGATAGCATGATGCAGAATGTATCGTCACTCACAGTTATGTTCCCCATGAAACTGTCAATATCTAACACTGTTGGTAACTCTTTATCAGCATATTTAATTGGCCACAGTCTTTCGCAGCTAATCCTCCTATTTGTGTAAATCTTTGTGTTAACCAATCAGATATGTACGATTGCTTTTTTTGTATTGATAGCCCGCCACATTTGACTTCGTCGTTTGAGGATGAAAGTATTTACGTGTATATCATTACAAAGATATGTTTAACTAAGGTTTTGTTTTTGCTGCTGGCAAAACACACCTACGCATAACCTGCCTTGTACAATATATCCCGATAACAGTAAGTAAACACTGCACTTATCAAGGAACCCGCATTAGCTTCTTAAAATCGTATTTTAATTTAAATGCATGTAGCTTAATTTTAAATAATGTATAATGCTTTTAAAAACAGACTGTTTTCATACCCAGTATAGAAAACAAAAGAAGTAGTTGGTGAATTTTCAGTGACTGGCAAGGTAGCTCATATTAACAACGATTAATTCATTGATGCTTACAATTGGTTACACTAACAATGCTTTATTTAGTTTTTTCTCCAATCTCGTATTCACTGAACCTACACCTGCTGACGTAATACTATGTAGAGTGACACCTGATATCGCCAGCACAATCAAAGCTCTCTTTGCATAGGTTAAGTAAACTTCCGGGTAGTTCGAATGTGGGATTGAGTGTGGAAGATACATATATAGCATTGGCGGATCCAGAGACCTATTTGGGGGGGTTTCCAAATTTCCTTGGGGGGGTTCCATGTGGGGAAAAATTGAGGAAAATGGTGAAAATACAAGAAAATTATCGGGGTGGGGGGTTTCCTGAAGCCCAATTTTGTGTTTTCTAGTTACAGTTTGCTTGATTACGTAACAAAGTGTTTTGTTCGAAAAATTATCTATATTGTACAACTTAAACGCATAACATTGCTTATTCATAAGTGGTAGACATTATTTACCACAACAGGTCTATATAGAAGTAATCGAGAGTTACCGTTTTTTATTAAACGGGAAAACAAGTGATTTGTGGGTTGTTTCCTGTTGTATTTTTGTGTCCCCCAACAATTACCTGTTCTGTTCAGGGTTATAGTTGATTATATCTTAATGTGATTGCTGAGAAATCGAACAAAACCACAAAGTTTTATAGGTAATTCAATATAATTTGCCTGAACTCTGAACACTAAGCAATCTAACACTTACATTTGAAGTTAAAAATAAGATTTGACTATTAGTTAATATATTTTTTAATTAGAAATTGAACTCATTATGCACAATATATATAGTATATAAATCATTTATAAGTACACACATTACAGTTGGAAAGAATGTTCACTTTATAAACAATTCTAAACAAAATATACACCAGTTCTCAATAAATATACAAAACACACTGTATAAATTATATACACAAACATCACAATAATCACAGTTTTCTAAAAAATGAAAATCAATTAGGATTTAAACTATTTTAACATAGATTTTGTTTACTTTCTTTTAAAATACCCCATTCCTAAACTAATTCACGACATCAGTTTAACGTTTTCTGGTTATTTAATTGATTTTTCACGAACATTCTGTTTCAATTATTAATTCGTTTCAAGAACTTTTTCCAAAATACCTTTCTAGCTGTAGTGAGCTTATTTTTATCACAATGGTTTTCATCAGGCCATATAATAGGACTTATTTCATCTCAGTTTTTTACGAATCAGTTTCGGAAATTCACTTCGTCTCATATCATTTAATAGAATAATGACATTCATATGTTCTCGTCCGTCACGAAAAGAATACACACTGGTTAGTTTCATTGTGAAAGTTTGCCATTCACGCTTAAAATAATTGCAGCTTACAACAAAAACAGACTTGCATGATGTATCGATAGCATTCATAATGTTGTCACTTATGTCTTACCTCAGATGGAAACTTTTTCATCGAAGATATTGAATACTGAGGTTTTACTGGTATGTACCTTAACAGTAATGGTTACAAAAGACATTGTTGTGTTGGAGGACTACGTCAAACGATGCATAAAATATGATAAATACGTCACCGGCCTGTGCGTTCCTTGTCCTGGTTTTGGTAAATACGTCATTGGCCTGTGCGTTCCTAGTCCTGGTTTTGATAAATACGTCACCGGCCTGTGCGTTCCTTGTCCTGGTTTTGGTAAATACGTCACCGGCCTGTGCGTTCCTAGTCCTGGTTTTGATAAATACGTCACCGGCCTGTGCGTTCCTAGTCCTGGTTTTGGTAAATACGTCACTGGCCTGTGCGTTCCTTGTCCTGGTTTTGGTAAATACGTCACCGGCCTGTGCGTTCCTAGTCCTGGTTTTGGTAAATACGTCACCGGCCTGTGCGTTCCTAGTCCTGGTTTTGGTAAATACGTCACCGGCCTGTGCGTTCCTAGTCCTGGTTTTGGTAAATACGTCACTGGCCTGTGCGTTCCTAGTCCTGGTTTTGGTAAATACGTCACTGGCCTGTGCGTTCCTAGTCCTGGTTTTGGTAAATACGTCACCGGCCTGTGCGTTCCTAGTCCTGGTTTTGGTAAATACGTCACCGGCCTGTGCGTTCCTAGTCCTGGTTTTGGTAAATACGTCACTGGCCTGTGCGTTCCTAGTCCTGGTTTTGGTAAATACGTCACTGGCCTGTGCGTTCCTAGTCCTGGTTTTGGTAAATACGTCACCGGCCTGTGCGTTCCTAGTCCTGGTTTTGGTAAATACGTCACCGGCCTGTGCGTTCCTAGTCCTGGTTTTGGTAAATACGTCACTGGCCTGTGCGTTCCTAGTCCTGGTTTTGGTAAATACGTCACTGGCCTGTGCGTTCCTAGTCCTGGTTTTGGTAAATACGTCACCGGCCTGTGCGTTCCTAGTCCTGGTTTTGGTAAATACGTCACCGGCCTGTGCGTTCCTAGTCCTGGTTTTGGTAAATACGTCACTGGCCTGTGCGTTCCTAGTCCTGGTTTTGGTAAATACGTCACCGGCCTGTGCGTTCCTAGTCCTGGTTTTGGTAAATACGTCACCGGCCTGTGCGTTCCTAGTCCTGGTTTTGGTAAATACGTCACTGGCCTGTGCGTTCCTAGTCCTGGTTTTGGTAAATACGTCACTGGCCTGTGCGTTCCTAGTCCTGGTTTTGGTAAATACGTCACCGGCCTGTGCGTTCCTAGTCCTGGTTTTGGTAAATACGTCACCGGCCTGTGCGTTCCTAGTCCTGGTTTTGGTAAATACGTCACTGGCCTGTGCGTTCCTAGTCCTGGTTTTGGTAAATACGTCACCGGCCTGTGCGTTCCTAGTCCTGGTTTTGGTAAATACGTCACCGGCCTGTGCGTTCCTAGTCCTGGTTTTGGTAAATACGTCACTGGCCTGTGCGTTCCTAGTCCTGGTTTTGATAAATACGTCACCGGCCTGTGCGTTCCTAGTCCTGGTTTTGATAAATACGTCACTGGCCTGTGCGTTCCTAGTCCTGGTTTTGGTAAATACGTCACTGGCCTGTGCGTTCCTTGTCCTGGTTTTGGTAAATACGTCACCGGCCTGTGCGTTCCTAGTCCTGGCCAGAGGGGGTGGGGGTCATGGAGATCAAATATTTAAAACAAAAAATCATAAAAAGTTACTGACATGTTGTTGTTGATTTAAATATATAACACAAGTGATGGCTTATTAAATTTACAAATGTTGGCTATAGACGAGTAATGCTGTTCTATGACAGCTCTTGTTTATGTAGATAATACAAGACGAAATTGGATATCATTGGTAGAGAGATATCCAAACATGGATAGATGTAACATTTATCAGGTTTCATTAGGAATGATTGAATTGAAAACAATTACTGAATTTGACCTTTTGATTCAATGATAATTAAGACTTTTTACCTCCCCAGGAGAATACATTGGAATCGCATACCTGAATCTGGACTTCAGGACACCAAATGCCCTCTCCACAACGGTCCTCGTCTTACAATGAGCCTTATTGTACCGCTCTTGTTGCTCAGATACAGGTGTCTGAAATGGTATCATCAGATACTCCTTTAGAGGGTAGCCAGAGTCTCCTAGCAACCAACCTCCTTCAGGGATATTTTTAACTATATCTGGCACATTTGATGACATCAAGATATAGGCATCATGTGTCGCTCCAGGAAACCGACAGTTGATACTGAGAAACCTGAAAAACGAGTGTTTCTTAAAGGTATATATGACTTGTGTGCCTGTTCTGTAACTGTGAAATGTATGTGTAACTCATTATAATTGGTGTTGTGCTACATGTACCTAATAATGAGGCTATCATCCAAGTTATCTCCGTTCTTTATTGGTCTAGTTACATTTTCAAGGTGAAGGTCATCAATTTGGCCGGTAGCTTCCTTGGATCCAGCCAGACAATGTTTGTTTATGAAAATGACCTTCTTCAGAACTAA